CCCCCCCCGCTGTTGACCAAACCTTACTTGCGGAACCTCTCAAACTTCAACCTCTCATAGGAAGAATTTGGCAGTCGCGCGCGACGATCAGCTTGCCGGAAGGCACGATCTTGACGTTGGGACCTCGCGATAAATATACATTCAGCTGAATGTATCTGGAACCGTGATCGTTGCGCGTGATCACGGAGGAAGCATTATATTTTTGCTTCGCTCGAATAGACTACAACAGCAATAGACTACTTCGTGGGAAAAACGTCGTGGGAGAAACTCAGAATCACTAGATGTTTCGCTGTCGTGTCTTCTCTCAACAATGGGAAGCCATTTGTTCACGGTTCACACCAAAAGTGCCGTACGTTGCAGTCTATGTACATATCGACACAGATCATGAGAGAGCGAGTATTGAATATCCGTAAATCGAGGTTCTATGGTCTAGACTACTTGTTTTGGAAATTTGGAAGAAATGGAATTGGAAGCGAAACAGTTACTAATTAACCACCCCGCCACATTCCCCTGGACCAACATTAGAAACACCCAGCATCTAACGTGCCTTTGCGGGCACAATGACCTTTGCGCTCGCGCCATGATTGTACTAGAGTCGCTTTCTTCGGCCCATAAGTAACCAGCGCTGGCAGCTGATACAACTTGTCTACCGTACAACGCTAATCCAATTTGCATGTTTGACTCTCTCGTCAGTAACTTGGGAGAAAGAGCGGACGTACGCTGTGACCTGTACCTCTATCATCACCCTCTGGACCACCGAACAACAAATCCGGGGGAATCTCGGCAGGAGCGCTGGCGATCGGAACGTCGGCGACATCACTCACCACTCACTACCGCACGCGGCGAACACCATCTGTTGTTCCCAATCAACTCGCGACGGATGTACTATGGTGCGAGTGACGCTGCAAGACTTCGCGAGGAAGACGCCGCGTGTGGGTACTATGGCGCCAAAATAGCGAACAACGATGTTGTTGCGACTCCTGCGGGTAGTGATGTCCCGGTCGAAAGCGCTTCACCGTCAGCTGTTGCCACCGCGAGCGGCCAAGAACAATCGTCGCCGTGGAAGGGCCGATGCTGCTTGTCATTGTCTCCAAATCTTGCGGTTCTGAAAGAGCTCTTGTCGTGTTGTCGAGGTGTGCCCTTTGGTGTGCGTCTGCCGAGGCTCGAAGTCAGCCGACGGGCGAAAAGAAAAAGAGGCATTCTTACTATACAAGCTGCTGCCGTTTTTGTCGTCGATTCCACACTTCCAACCTCTACAAAACCACATATTTGCCCATGTCGTCGACCGAAGGCATGTCGTTGATCTGTATACAAAATCGAGCATCCACGCACTGGAGCGTGCTTCTATACGGCCGGGTGTCAGCACCATACGTGCCAGCGCGAAAGGTGCGCCGATCACAACCAACTAACCAACCGGCGACCACACCATCTCCGGAGATTACTAAGACGCAGACCAACGAGTGCACCGTTCGGTTGCGGCTTCAATCTGTCCGACGCGCTGGTGCTCAGGCAGCTTTTCGACGCAAATTTCACTCTTTCCGTTAGCGAAGCCACGGTCAACAAAACTTCATGAAGCAGGTTTCAGCAGAAAGGAATCGCTCCTTGTAGTCGTGACGTTTCTTTTTCTGCACTGCTGCTGTACACGCCTTCGTTGGAACCAACAAGCTGAGGCCATGTAAGAGGGACCCCTACATAGAAAGACATTAAATCGCTCTGCGGCAACGCAAGCTGCGTCACTCTTAGGCCCACATACAAAATAAATCAACTTGAAGAAGATAAAAGTACTTCTAAACCGCATCGCGACCCCGCGACATGGGCTTCTTCTTAAATTCTTGAAAATACACACAAGACAACATTGAATTCCACACCTTTCTTGATCTGTTACTACGATGCGTCAACGCGACACCGGATCTCATGAGACATCGAGATAGCGAAATCCTGACGGAAATGCGGCCCGGAATACGAACGCCTGCAGACTAGAGATATGGCAAACAAATGTAGTGCCGCGTGCACACACGAGCAGATCAAATCACCGTCGAATCAGGGTTGGCGGAACACTACGAAGGATATTGCAAGTAGCAAATGAACACGCGGACGAACAAGACCGCTTTGCAGGAGGCGGAAGCATCAAAGCGCGGGCAGTCCACTTCTCTAGTGCGTGCACCAAATACGAGCCAGAGGAAGGCTCGACACGCCATATCAAAAATGACGCGCAAGGTGAAGGCAAAACAACAACAGTAACACACCGGCCGACACAGAAACAAACGAGTGGCAAAGAACACACGCGCGGTCCATGTCAAATGACAAAGGCACGCACACGCGCGCACACACTCCACCGGGACGCAAACTGAGTGGCTGACAAAAAGAAAACAGTGGAGCTTGTCACTGCGCCACCTTCATCCAAAACTCGTGCCCCTCATCTGATATATGTTTTGCATGCCATGCCTGTCATTTCTTGTGTACAATAATTCGGCTCTCCCACCCCGGACTTCATCCCTCTCCCCCAAATACAATATGCACATTCGACGGCGTTCTTTAACAGCCCCCCTTCGTCCCCTAGCCGAGCTTTCTACACACAACGAGTTCTTAAGCTCTGCCCGCCCCCCTCACTACAAACTGTAAATATGGGGTCCCAAAGCTCCGACCCATGAACAAAACAAAGCCATCCTTGGATTATCCCCTTCCATGGGGCCAGGAGTCGAGGATGACCACCCGCCCGAAAAACACGCCGTGAACACATTTTCAAAGCATCCATTGACTTCCAGCGCCACACGCCCGTCCCTCCTTCATACACCAAAGGCCTTTCTTGGCTGCTACGCCCCCATCCGCAAACAAACGCACCTTCAGCTCCAAGATGGTTCTCAAAAAAGAAAAAAACATGATTTGTTCGTTGCATCTCGCTCAGGCACGGAGCTCCGCCATCATGCTGCGTCGTTCCCGGTGTAGTTATTGTTGGGCATGTGTTGGCCCCACCGTCTTGTGTCCTGGCCCGTGATGCCGCTACGCACAGCGTTGTTGTTGATGCTGCTGCCGGCGGGGTTCAAGTAGCCGGATGTGGATATGATGTCGGTCTTGCATAGCGGGCACCAGCCATGGTTTTCTCCGTCAAGCCACTCGTCGATGCACTTTTTTCCCGAGTGTGTGCATTACACACCGTGGAATATTCCGCAGCATGAGGAAGCGAAGTAGAAGCATGCGCGTGATGTACCGGAAGGAGTACCAGCGTGCATATGGTGTACCGGAGGCAGTAGCAGCATGTCCGTCGTGTAGCAGAAGCAGTGGTAGCAGCAGTGGCAGTAGCAGAAGTGGTGGCAAAAGTACGTCGCGACGGGTATGGAGAGCTCAGCGATCGAGACAAAGCCGTCAGTGAGGGCCAACGACACAGAAACAAGGCGGTAGGGAAGCATCCGAACGGTTGGCGACGTTTCAGGCAAAGGCATGTATGTGCGCGTCAAGATATATCCGCTAACAATTTCTGTGACATGCGAATGCGATCCGACCAACGAGTACGCTCCCCACCTCAACATGAACAAAAAGCACCGCGAGACAGGTACCAGGACCTGACTGACGACCACAACAACAGAGACAAAGAAGTACAAGGGTGTTGTGGATGCCGACACACGCGCTGCAATGGTTGCCTCGATATGAAAAACATCTCTGAAGAATATCTTCAACCTCTCTCCTCTTTCCTTCGCCAAAACAGGCGAACCTCCGTGATCACATGCCAACATGGAACCATATTATCGCCGCCGCGGTCGTCGTACCTTTGCGTGATACAAGTGGCCACACCGCAGCCGGCACAGCTCTTCCCCGTAGGTGTAGTCGCCGAAGCACACGATGCACGACCCCCTCGTCGACCCCTCGCCCTTGGCCTCTTCGCCAAGCACCCCTCCTGCAGCAAAAGCACCCCGGAAAAAGAAAACTCACGACACGAAATACGGCAACTGAAACACACAGGAGAGAAAAACCCACACGCACGGACACAGTGTAATCCAGATTTCTTGGAACCAACCTGCATGGACACTCAGCCAAAGCTTGTGGCAGCATGTCATATTTTGTTTACCTCTCCCGTTTTTGACGCGGCCTCCCTGTGTATTACCCGTAACAGACACGTCGAATACTTTCACAAAACGAACCAGTGGGTAAATAAAACGATATTCTGCGCAACCCTCGCTACATATTTGATCAGTGGGAAACCTACAAGGGATGTATAGGTTTTTTGTAAAGTACGGTTCCAACTTCTTTACGTTGTGAAATCCAACCCTCAACTTCGTATCTCCCAAATTTTCAATCGGTGGTGCATTCGTTACGTAGGCTTGGTGGATTGGACAATCATCATAACAAAGAATTGGCCACGCTCGCCGCACGTGCACATTCTCTACTTGTTTCGTAGATTCCGCCATGGGGTTGCTTCGTCTGCAAGCGAACCTTTCACACGATAACTCCCCACCGAATTCCCCACCGGACGCTCTCTCTCTCTCTCTCTCTCTCTCTCTCTCTCTCTCTCTCTCTCTCTCTCTCT